GGGCGTTGGTCTCTTCTCCCAAGTAACAAGCGATAGGACGAGAGGAAATGGCCTCAAGTTGCGCCAGGGGAGGTTTAGATTGGACCTGAGGAAAAATTTCTTTACTGGAAGAGTGGTTAAACATTGGAACAGGCTGCCCAGGGAAGTGGTTGAGTCCCCATCCCTGGAGGTATTTAAAAGACGAGTAGATGAGGCACTTAGGGACATGGTTTAGTGGGTGGTGGTGTTGGGTTGACGGTTGGACTCGATGATCTTGGAGGTCTTTTCCAACCTCTATGATTCTATGAGCTGGCAAGGATTAGTCAGTATTTTAACCTATAGGCCTTCTTGATAGACAACCCACTGATTAAAACGTAGGTAAATTACTGCATGCTTGAGCTATCAATAACGATAACAGTTTCTTCTACTAGGGATTCATTGCTGGTAGAAATGACAAGAAACTTTTAAGAAAAAAAAAATCTAGCATAGGTTCAGCAAGGAGTCTCATGCTGCTTTTTTTTCTGGGACAGTATTATTTTTTCCTTAAAGCTTGTAATGGCAATGGGAGATACTCCTTTGCTAATCATAAGGAAATGGAAAGAGAATTCCCACAACTACTATTTTATCTGCCCAAGTGGGGCAAAGATACACGGTGTGTGTGTAGTCATTAGGAATAAAACTACTCAGAAATAATGGTGAGCTTAACTGCCTACAGCGGGATCCCTGCTAACAAATAATAGTTCTTCTTTTGAACCTTTTCTAGAGGGGACTTTTAAGAGATGAGGTTAGACTAAGCTGTCTAACATTTTTAAAAGTCAAGCTAGACAAGACAACGTCCACTTTAGTAGGGATGCTCCGGGCATTTTAGAACAAGTTAAAATATATGTTACCTTACTTGTACTAAGCTTCTAGATTGTGTTTACTAGTTCTGATGCTCCCTGCTAATACAATGCTGGCACACCTCCAAATTCTAGTTTATACAAAGCTATTTAATAATGAAGAGATCTTGGGAAGCTGATTACAATTCTGCCTAAATTCCTAACATCTAATTCTTCAGATGGTGTCTATACACAGTAAGACTTAGCTCTGATTCAAGTTTTTTTGCTGTTCTGCAAAGCATGGAAAGAAAACCTGAGAGCTTCATCCGCAGGATGAATGTAGAGGCATATAAGGAAAACTTGTTTGAGAGGATTGTAAATGGCACTATAGGAGAAAGAAAAATTGGTTGTCCTATGCAGAGTACTGCTGTGCAAGATTTCAGTAGACAATAATAGAATGCTGTATCTGCCATCTGCAATCAACAAGGATGATTGCACTGTGTTGGGACCTAGAGGAGTAGCAGCTCAGTGATAGGAGAAAAGGATGTTCTTTGGAAAAGTGTCATGGTGAGACACAGGCCATCCACTTTTCAGAATGTATTGGCCAGAGCCAGAAGGTGGACTGAAGTTATTTGGGGAGCAACCGTTTTAGAATTAATTTAAATTAACTATAGAATATAAAGACAGACTGTAATTTTGTGATTGTGCAAATATGGTAGTTCGCTGCTTTAAGAAGGCATACGTGAGAAGAAAAGCATAAAACAGATAATAGGTGTAAAGCTCATGGAGCTGGTTCAGTGGAGCCTAACGCAAGTGAACACACAAGAGCCAGCAGCTATTAGCATAGCCTTATTAGAGATACAGTGACCAAACTTGCCATCATAGAGGAAAGATAGTAAACTGAGTCCTACTGGAAAACCTCCCAATGATTCTCAGTTCAGCCAAGCTCTCCAAAGAGCAGCAATATTCACATACTATCTGTAACATTCTTTTTTGCTGTTTTCCTTCATCTGACCAAGTAACATGTTCTCAAAATCCTAACAAACACATAACTGAAAGTCACAAAATCTACCTTGTGATCTCAAAAGCATTCTTCTAAAACTGAGTGAATTATCGCTTTCGCATCTTTCAACTATTCAATCCACCATCTCACCCTAAAAGTCTTGTTGCTCAAGCAAGTGGCTATGCCTCTGGTGTTCCCATAGCTGCAATTTGTGAAAGCAAGTTGACAATCAGACCTTATGTAAAATCTCTCTCTAGACCATTTTAAGTCTCACTTAAATCAGTTGATTACTTTGCCTAAATTCTTCTCAAAACCTTATTGTACTCTAGAGGAGAAGCAGCTCCACACTTTGGATTTATATAGAGCTCTTAAAAGCTGCACTTACAGGACTAAATTTTTCAGCCTAACTATGTGTCTACATATGGCCATAAATGACTGCTCCAAAGACCAAGGAATTTCGTTTCAAAAATTATTACCATAGTGTTATAACTTGTCTTTCTACACTACCAGCTGATTGTACCTCTTCCACTAAATGGCAAGGCCCATGTTGTTTGAGTTAATGTAGCATTTTCCAGTTGTTTCTGAAACATTATATTATATGGAGGTCCACAGACAGCACCATAGCTGTAACTTAAGAAGGCAGTCGCCCTAGGCTTCACTCAACAGAATGCTGAATGAACATGGATGAAGCAAGGTCAACAGTGTCTTGAGACTAGGTGTAGCTGGATGTCCTGTTGCTATGCTGATAGAAGTTGTTCAGTGAGGAAGCTAGGATGCAGGACTTCTGGTTAATTACTTGCTGCTTCTCATGCAATAGTCTATTTTATCCATAGAGGTAACAGCACATGACTTGGGGTGAAGCATTTCCTGCTTTTATGTCAGCTAGAAGGAGGACATTAAACTGGTATCTGCTTAATGGAACTAGAACAGATGCCAGCGTGGAGAGATCAGTATTCAATTTTTTCTTTGTAGCTGACATATCTGATACTGTTTATACTCACCATCTTTATTCCCATCCATTTAAGTGCTTGCCAATCACCTGTGGTTAAAATCACCATTAATGTGAAGAAAAGGGAATTATTACTCATGCTGTAGCACCTGTATTTCTCTGACTAAAGTTTTCAAACGTAACTCCCACAGCCTGTCCTTTTTTCTCAGCAGATGCAGGCTTCCAGCCACCAAAGGGTGGGAGGTTGTGCACAGTCTACCTTCTGCGCTCTCTCATGGGAAGATGCTAGCCACAAACAACATTGCTATTCAGGCTTGCCCAAGTGAAGAACACTTGCAGTCATAGATAAGGTCCACATGAGTTATGCTGACTTCAAAAGCCACAGTTACTGTGGTCAGTAACTTTCGCACTGACTGTTGCCAACCAACTTGCTTCTTGTTCCCATTTACAAATAGAGAATCTAAGGCAGAAAAGATACACAGTGGATTTTCCTATGCTCAGGAAAATTTTGGATTATAGATTCACTGAATCTTATTTTGTGCTGTACAGTAACAGTGAAGAAAAAAATTTAGCTCTAAGTTAAACCCAAAAGACATCCAAATATGTCGCTGTGACCGTCTCTAGATGAGGAAAAGTGGTTACGTTTTCAAATGTTTGGGCTAGTTTGAAGTTGATGTTCTATCAAGGACTTTGGTATAGTCGGTACAACACTAGATAGGGCACCTCATAAAAAAGAAGTTTTGTAAGCTAGTGTTATCTATATATGATCAAAACAACAGCACTGATCATTGCCAACTAATAAAGTTCACAGTGCAGTTTGTCTATAATATGTTCAAAGACATAGACCAGTAATGTTATAATACCACCTGTTTCTCTACGTAGAACTGAAATGTGCCTGTTCTGTGTCACTTGCTGCCTGCAGAAAAACAGGAATATGCACATTGCTTCTATGACTTACTGCTGATTTCAGAAAACTGAGCTCAAAATTTTTAATCCCCTTCTGAAAGATGGTCATTTAGTCAGGAATAATGTTTCACTTCCTGTGCAGATGCGTCAATTTTACTATTCAGCCAAAGCATTTGATGTTCTGGAGAGACTGGACAGTAATCCTGAATACTGGGAAGGCAAGAGAGGTGCTTGTGTGGGTGTCTTTCAAATGATCTTAGCTGGCCGAGAAGCAAAGTGAGTATTCTGTGTTGTATCTGAATTTATTTTGCTCTTTTCCTATTTCCAGTTAGCTGTAAGCCAGAATCATAGTCTTAGCTTTAGAACTATGTATCCTCTTCCAAGTCTTTATTGACCTTTCAGAGAATAGACACGCTGGCCAGTGGTTCCATATGCAGTGTTCAATTTGAAGTGTATCTTCCACATCAACAGTTACAGAATATATGGTGGAGAATAACTTATCAGCGAATGCTATGAACTGTAGGAAACCAAAATACATTAGTCATTATACTAGGAAGAGCTCAGTTATAAATGTAGTATGTTCGTGAACTGAGGAAAAAGAACCTCATTTCATGTTAATGGCATAAGAATGGAAAACTGTCCCATGACATTTTAAGGTTCATAGAACAGAACTAAGGAAACATTTACTCAGCGCTGTAGGAAGAACACAATTTCTCTAAACAATGAGTAGATGAGACTGTGTTTTCACTAAAATTTGCTTTCTGAAGACACTGTCCATGTCAGACAAATATACTTACTTGATGAAAGCTTAAAGGAAATTATCTGTGTTACTGATAATTTTGCTTTCGTCCCATTTCACTGGATGGGAGACCGAGAGAGTAGTGAGGCTGTATTTAAGAACCGTTCCCTCATTCATATTCTGCTGTGATGCCAGATGGCCATTCTCCCCTGGCCAAAGTTGCTGTTTTGTACATGACTGGTAGGTGTGTATCTTGGCTTCTACACCTTCCTTGTATTCCCTTCTCTGCTGGAATAATCTCATTAACTACTGCACCCTTCAAGTGTCCTTTTAGCAATTACTGCAGTAGATGCAGTAAAATACACATAGCTTGCCTGTTTTTCAATATGCATACAATACAAGTTCTTGCTGTAAAGTAGCTGGCAAACTGCAGCTTCATACTGGTTTATCCTATTGGTAATGTTCATTTCCATGTTATTTGTATTTATGTGTGAGGTGCTGTGGCAGCATTAAGCTAGATGTTGCCATACTGAAGACTAGCAAGTAGCATTAAAGAAAAAAAAAAAGTTTGTTTTGTTCTGGGGAACTATTTTGCAAGAGTAAGGATTTACACATAAATACACACACTCACGCACTAAACTCCAAACTAATTACATCTTGCTGATTTTTTTTTTAATTTCTCTCCTTGTTGCAATGGTATACAAGATTTTTTTTTTTTTTTTAGAATCATAGAATCAATAGAATAGTTTGGGTTGGAAGGGACCTTTAAAGGTCATCTAGTCCAACCCCCCTGTTTTTGGTCCCCTGGGATCTAATCTACTGTGTATTTTTACCTATTCCTGCTCTGCAGATGAATGGACCTCTCTGTGTAGGAACCGTGTTTTGCAAAATAGTTTGGATGTGGGTAGTTGTTTATTGTATCACCCTCATTTAAATCTTTGCTTTTCACCTTTGTAGAGAGACTCTACGGGAAGTGCTGCATCTTCTGAAGAGCACTGGTAATTCTCAAGTAGAATACATTGTCCGCATCATGAAAAAGTGGGCCAAGGAGAACAGAGTTCCTGTTTAAGTCAGTGCCACAAAATGAACCGGGTCAGTTACTATTGTGCGTGTGGCTGTAGGATGTGGGTCTTGGTTTCTCCTGTGCATTCTGGGTACCTCCTTCCTTGCAGGATTTTAGACTACCAAGCAAGTTGACCCAGCTGAGCAACTGTGTAGTGCAGTGAGATTGCAAAACATTCAGCAAGTATTTTTTTTCATTAAAGCTTTATTGGTACTTTTTCTGTTGCACCACTCTCTATTCCTCATTCAAAGTTTCTCATTTTTTTTAGTAGCAATTCCAACTGTCCACAAGTCAAAGTGCTCCTCAGATGCTCCCCCTCTCAACACAAGTAACTGGAGTGCTTTGTGGGGTTTGTTTGGGGTTTTTTTTTCAGCAAGTCTTCTGGCCTCTGGAGAAGAATCACTTGTTAAACGGCTGAGACAAATCTACTTCAGCAAGAGGTGGAATGTGGCGAGTAGAGAGGATGATGGTGACAGCCAAAAGCCAGTACTAGGGTATCAGATAATACATAAAGACTTCTTATATTACCTGTCTGGAGTAAAATACAAACTGTATTCTGAGCACTGTCCTTTTCTGGATAAGTCTCAATAACTAATACCTTGATCTCTTATTTTTGTCTATCATCAGGATTGTTTTCTCTCTTACCATTAATTCTGAGGATGAGGGTTAATCAACCCAAAATGCCAAGCTCCGAAGTGGCTTATTTGCTTTCTAGGTTGGTAGCAAAGCATGACAGTAACATCTTTTTCAGTGCATGGAGATTTGACCGACTGTATTGTTCAATCAGACATTGATCATCATCATCAACTCAAAACATTCATGTTAATATAATTCATGTGAGTAATCCATTTAGTTTAGCAATCTGATGGATAAAAGAACTGGATGTTTTGAATAATTTTCTTCAGCATTGGCCACCCTAGTTTGCAATAAATTTATTATACTTTTGGATTTATTATACTCTTCTGTTTTCTAAGGAGAACAGTTCCGGGAATACATAATTCTAAAAGAAGGCAACAGTTGTAACATAGAAATGTATTATATGTTTTGCAGCAAAAAACATTTGTATATTATTTGTAAAAGGGAAATATACAATTTGTAAATTTGTAAATACTTATGAAGTATTTTTTTATCGTTTGGGAGGGAAACTCAGAATACTGTATTCTCTACTGTCTGTGCTTTGATTAAAGCTCTTAATTGAAACTACAGTTGAATGCCTTGTTGGTCTGTGTTGCTTCATACTGAAGAAGTTGAAATAGTATATTCATTTTGCTGTGGAAGAGGGCAGATTTGTGACTGGTCATTAAATGTATGTTCAATAATCAGTCCAAGGCAAGCCAATGGCCTTGGTCCTGATTTTATGGTGGTTTGATGCTGAAAATAAGGAGGCTGGGTACATAGGGAACATATACACCTTTCTGCCATATAGCATGTCAGTATTTTTACTGCTTTAAGCAAAACCTGTGGGTATCATCATTCAGGTATCTAGAAGTACATTGATAGTTGTGGCTACTTGCATTTACGTGTATTTACATCTAGAAAACTGATCCATCATACTAGCAACAATAACAGAGCCTTTCACCAGGGGCAACGTTACACTGATTCAAGAGGTGTGAAAGGAGCAGTAGGTTCACTGAAAGCAGTTAGAAAACACCTTTCACTTGTAAAAAGCATTTTTGTTTTCCCTCCCACTTTAATTAACTTGGAAACAGATCGGGAATACAATTATGAGTCTTGGTACAAAGCTTCAAAAAATCATGTTGGTGGCTTTGTAGCAGATGTTAAATGCATCTAATTACTCCCTTTATTGAAGCTTAACCTGCAGGAGAGCTGAAGAGCGTCCAAATCCATTGCAGACCATTTTACATGTTGGTTGAATCTTCTGAAGTAAGTGTGATGGCATTGCAGCATAAGGGCTTGGGGACTAATTTTAAATTCTCTGTCCGTGACAAGTGAAGAAGTTTTTGAAAACCTCACCTTTATTCACTTTAGTCACAAAGTCATATTTGATATGCTAAATAATGTGGGTTTTAGCACAGTGCATTTTATTGAATGGTAATACAGCTTTTGTCACTTAAGACATAAAGAACAGGGTACTGCAGGGCTTTGCCTTGAGCAGTGATGAAATAAAAGATATATTACATATTGTCTGAGCATTTAGGCTCTTGGTAATGGAACAGATATGTAGGGACTATTAAAATGCAGAACAAGAAAAGTGCTGAAATATTGGTGTTTATTTTACCTTAGAAATACGTTCTAAGAACATGTTCCGTTGTTTAATCTGCAATCACATTCAACAAACAGAGGTGTGAATAGGACTTGCCTTAGCTGATACAGAAAGGGAAGTTAATAAGGGATTTCTAAAGCTGTTTCTCAGGTAAAGTTAACAAAATGTTATCCTTGTCCATTTTCATATTTCCCCGAACTGTGGAATTTTAAGAAGTCAAGGTACTCTAAATAGGACAGCTAGGAGTGAAGGTAGATGTGGAAAAAACCAACAACAAAAGTGACCTATACAGAACAAGCAGGCAGTGAAGAAAGCATATGCAGAGTCAGGGAAACAGGTAAGTTTATTGGGTTGGAAGTAAGCAAATACAAAATTGAAACAGTGGCATTTCAGATAATGCAGTGGAGAGAGACTAAGGCAGAAAGAAATTGCTGCATCATTAGAATTTCAAGGAAGAGTATGGAAAATGCAGTTATTTATTATACTCTAAATAAGCATCTGATTCTGGAAAATAAGCTATAGAGAATGCACAGAAGGTACTGTGCTAGCAATCATATCATTAATAGTGACCGGTAGAGAAAGCCAAACCCCAAACAGTGTGTAACTGCTTTCAGTTGGGCGCTGACCCATTCCTGACAGGTAGGGAAGATGACCTTTAATTAAACTTGGTAAACTGAACAACGTTTATGCCAATAACATCTAAGTGGATTACACTGCAGGGGAGGACATTTATCCTGTCTGTTGCTGCAAGCGAGTTCCAGGATAACATCCGCTTTGGCCAGCATCTGAACTGATCCAATATAGCAGCAACCCTCTTGGATTAATTCTGGAATCCAGCATATAACTTCTAAGGGCAGTAACAGCGGGAGCCAAGTAATGTACCGAACTGGAGGCGGCAAGTGCACTGTCAGGGAAAAGTCACGCCATGTTCCAACTCTGTGGGCCGTAGCAGGCGTTTAGGTTTATGTGGTTCCCTCAGCTTGAAGATCGTTCATTGATCTTCATAAGAAAGTTGTCTAAGGTTGAATAAGGAACTTGGCCATTAGCTAGTAAGACACAAAATAAACAATTACATGTATAGCTGTTGCTACATGTAGCTTCACTATATGGGAGCTATACATACATTGAGGAACCCATCTGGTTTTGCCCATTGGTTTACTCTTTAACCACATTTTCCCTGTATTATCTCCAGAAGTAATTTCCAGTCACTCTTTTTTGAGTTTCATTTCCAGACTTCCCTCTCCCCATTTCATCTATTAATATGACCGCTGATTAAGCAGATAATTGCATGAAAGCGTCACCAGTAACCATTAAAGTCAAGTCTTTAATCGACTACTAGATAATCTGGCCTGACCCTACATACTGCAAGATGGTAGATTTCATCCGCTAACCTTTGTGTTGAATCCAGTAACTTGGATTTCCATAAAAATATTTGCCAGAAAAACTGGAGTCTTAATTTGAAGGTGGATAATGAAAAATCCATAGTTTTACTTTGCAATTTATTCAAATGGTTAAATCACCTTTGCTCTTTTAGAAATTGTACCTTAATTCTAAACTCAGTGTGTTTGGCCTTGTTTTCTAATATTTGATGCTTCCAATGTTCATCTTTGCTGTTAGACATTAAAGCCTAGCATTCTTTGTTTGGGTTTGGTTTTTTGGTGGCAGGGTTTTTTTTTCCATCTTTAGGTATGCATAAGCTGCAAGCAAGTCACCTCTGTCTGTATTGAAGACAGCATCCCTTGTAAGGATATTTTCCAGGCTGGAAAACTCGCAGTCAGTTTGTCAACAGATTTTTAAAAAACGTGGCCATGAAGCACTGGGCATAATTTATCACTGTATGTGACACTGGAATATGCTCCTCCATACTGCTGCTCACTGTTCTCCTACGTGTGTACTCAAAGACTGCATTCACCCTTTTGCCATATTACGACAGGGGGAGCTTGCATTAAATTGCTTCTCGACTGTGACATGACATCTAGGGTTTTTCCAGAACTGGTATTTTCCAGGATACAGTCTACCCTTTGGAAAGAGGCAGCCTACCTTTAGCTCTACAAAAAACACGTTTTGTTCGAAGGGGCTCAGTTTTCCAGCTTATGCAGATCACGCCGTGTGACTATCTTATCCTCACTAATTACTAGTCTGTTTCTCTGCAGCCTTTTATTAGTGCTGTTCTACATCTATATCTGGATCACCAAGGGATATGTTGGATCCCCCATCCTTCCAGGACCCTACTGAAGTCAACCCTCAAAACATTCTGTTAATGATGACTGATGGCTACTTTTCGTTATTTGCCATTCTCAACTTATTTAACGTGTACCTTACGGATACTGTATTACGCTATTCTTTTAAATTAGGTATATGACATTAGAAATGTATGTATTGCGTTTGTATAACTGCAATATTGTTGTATTCAGCTAAACTTGTAAAAGATCCATGTCATGGGAACTAGTACTTCCCATTCACTCTTTGTTAGATGAACCTTACAGCATCCCAGAAAGATTGATGGAGTCCAGTTGTTCAAGGCTGCTTGCAGAATTTGAAACAACTTTTTTTTGCCCTGTAATCACAGTTAGAAGCCACACACCAAAAGCTTACTTTTGACATTGTGGAGTTTAAACTTTCATTTGGGACAACTAAAGCAGGCATTTCACATCTCTGGGCAAGGGACGGTTCCTAAATTCCTTATAGGTCTTGCTTAATTACACTAGCATCTATTTACGGATTTAAAAATAAAAATCTGTATTTAGTAAGAGCTGTGACTTTTGAGAAGAGACAGTATATTTTTCAAATAAAAAGAGAACTTCCCTTTCAATTCATACCTACACATTG